GAAGAGTTCCGGGCTCCTACCCCATGGCGGTTACATGTTGACTCTCTGTGTTTCTCCTTCCCAGAGTCCTCCTGGACTCCTAGTCCCTCCTATCTAGGTTTCCTATTGGCTCAACAGTACTTTATTGACAAATGCACAGGACTTCCCCCAACACCTGTAGTACTACTTTGTTTGTGATCTACTACATAATGCTTTGCTGAATAATATAGTTTGCAACATTTTTATTTAAGAAAAAGGGTAAATGTGGTGACAATTTTTTAATGGAAGAAATAAAGATAACCTGAACATCAGGGTACAGAACTAAGTCTCTATTTCCCCACACACCTAACAATAAATAGTTAGTTACAGAGGTCAAGCACTGGTCATAACACAATTAATCTCAGCAAGGGCAACAGTGGCAGATTGATCTCTAGGGGTTCACAGCCACCAAGGCCAACAGGAGAGTGAACCATTCTAAAAGATAAAGGGAACTCACTCATTTAATACCAGCAATATGGAGCACAAGATTTTAATCCTTGTACCAGGGAGGTGGATACAGGAATGAGGGCTGCTTGGACAGAGGGATGTAAGACAGGAGGAGACAGAAGCAGTGCAGTCTGAGGTTTGGGGGAAACAATTGCAATTTGAGTTTTCCGTGGAGACAGATTTGCCAATGTTGACTGAGATACAGGTAAGAGCTCAGGTCTGGCCACTTTTCTTTTCTGATAATAATGCAAGTTTTTGTTAGATTACAAAGAATATATTACTACACATACTTCATTTATTTCTTGTATCTGGTAGAGCCAAGAGTCTCTCCATTTACCTAGGAATTGGTTTGAATATGTGTGTGGGAGGGCATGGGTGTGTGGAGCGTTGGATGGACCAAAGCACCTTAACATCAATCACAGAAGACAACCTTGTTCCAGAGTGAGTAAAATGACAAGGCCAGGCCTGATCTGTTGGCAAAGTTCTGACTACTGATTTTTGAGACACTTATTTTCAAGATCCAAGTTCCTGAAATGTCTCCTCAGATGTCACAAGTGATGTATTTCTTTCTGGTCTACAGTTTACTATTAGCTATGGGACCCTGACATATATAATTATCTTGCTATTGTTTAGTGCAAATTGAAGCCAGCAAATTTGGTAATCAGGTTTAGGTGAGACTATTGATTTCATCAGAAAGTCTCAGACTCACTGTGTGGGTCAGATATTAGGACACAGCATTCTCCTATATTCAGTTTGGCTCTAGGTAGGCAGCAAGTATATGGGTAGTCTGTGTGGAGCTGGTCTAGGACAGCCTGAAATTAATTGTGTGAAATTCAGTTTTACACAATAGGAAGGACTGGTACATTGTGGGAGGACCACTCACCTGTAAAGAGCAGTTGGGAGGGGTCAGACATTAGAGAGTTGAAGGAGAAGACTGAAAACTGGAAGAAATTAGAGAATTCTCAGTAATTGGCTTTGGGGGAATCCAAGTGTGTGAGGACAGTGCACTGTGAGATAAAGAATTAAGTGTCAAAGAGCAAGTCCCAGATTCAACTTCAAGCCTGTAATGTGGGAAGTATCTTTGAGCAGAACTAGGAGCTGAGGTAAAGGCCTGTTACTCCCTGGGACCAAAAAACTACTCAGAGCCACAGGTTCCAGGTTCCAGGTCAAGAGTCATGGGAAAGTCACCAGTAAAGAAGACAATGTCGAGCTGTCCCTCTGGCATCATCAGGTAAACAGGCCAGCTTCCCGGCCTGTGTTCCAGAGCCTGCAGATCGCCTGGGAACTGCACAGAGCTCCCAATCCCGGCGGGAGCATCAGGTAAACAGGCCAGCTTCCCGGCCTGTGTTCCAGAGCCTGCAGATCGCCTGGGAACTGCACAGAGCTCCCAATCCCGGCGGGAGCCAAGCACCCCAGACCCCAGATCTTCTCTCCCACCAAAGAGACCAGGAAACTACAGGAGCCAGGGAGACGAGGGGAGTAGCTGTTCCGGATCAGGTACAACAGGACCCAGCATAGGGTCCAGGGGACCAGGTAGGAGGCTAAGCGCCCCAGATTCCTGTTCTTCTTCTCTACCCACGGACCAGCATTTGGACAAGGCATAGAAGAACCACCAGATTACTGGACTTACTAGCACCCACCAAAAGGGAACTCTGGTCCCCAGACCAGGAAGGGGCTCTTTCTGCACCCACTAAAAGAAGAGATGGGAAAGAGACAATACAAAAACACAGTCAGCAACAGAAAAACAAATATGACACCGCCAGATTCTAGAGACTCCACACCAGCAAGACCCCAATATTCCAACGCGAAGGAAGCAGAAGAGAACGACCTTAAAAGCACTTTCATGAAAATGATAGAGGCCCTAAAAGAGGATATTGGAAAATCCCTCAAAGAAATGGAAGAAAAACAAACCAAAAAATGCAAGAAATGGAAGAAAAACAAACCAAAAAATGCAAGAATTGGAAGAAAAAACAAACCAAAAAAGGCACGAAATGGAAGAAGAAATGAAGCAAAAATGCAAGAAATGGAAGAAAAAGCAAAGCAAAAAATGCAAGAATTAGAAGAAGAAACATACCAAATAAGGCAGGAAATGGAAGAAGAAACAAAGCAAAAAATGCAAGAAATGGTAGAAAAAACAAAGCAAAAAATGAAAAAAATGGAGGAAGAAACAAACCAAAAAAGGCAGGAAATGGAAGAAGAAACAAAGCACAAAATCCAAGAAATGGAACAAAAAGCAAACCAAAAAATGCAAGAAATGGAAGAAAGAACAAACCAAAAAATTCATAAAAGGCAACAAACGGACGAACAGATAAACAGAAAATTGCAAGAAGCAATGCAAACGCTGCAAGGGTTGAAAACTGAAATAGAGACACTAAAAAAAACACAATCTGAAGAAAGGCAGAAAATAGAAAAGCTGGACAAACAGTCAGGCACTACCAATACAAGCATTACCAACAGAATAGAAGAGATGGAAGAGAGAATCTCAAGTGTTGAAGATACATTAGGAGAAATGGATTTATCAACCAAAGAAAACCTTAAATCCAACAAATCCTTAACACAAAACATCCAGGAATTATGGGACACCATGAAAAGACCAAACCTAAGAATAATAGGTATAGAAGAAGGAGAAGAAATCCACCTCAAAGGGGCAGAAGGCATATTCAACAAAATCATAGAAGAAAACTTTCCCAACCTTAAGAAAGACATGCCAATGAAGGTACAAGAAGCCTACAGAACACCAAATAGAGTGGACCACAAAAAAATCCCCTCGCCACATAATAATCAAGACCCCAAACATACAGAATAAAGAAAGAATATTAAGAGCAGCTAAGGAAAAAGGTCAAGTAACATATAAAGGCAGACCTATCAGAATTACACCTGATTTCTCCATGGAAACTCTGAAAGCCAGAAGGTCCTGGATAGATATTCTACCTACACTAAGAGACCATGGATGCCAGCCCAGACTACTATACCCGGCAAAGCTCTCAATCACTATAGACGGAGAAAACAAGATATTCCATGACAAAACTAGATTCAACCAATATGTGTCCACTAACCCAGCCCTACAGAAAATTTTGGAAGGAAAACTCCAACCCAAGGAAGCTAACTACAACCAGAAAAACATAAGCATTAGAGAATCCCTCTCTACCAACAGCCAAAAGAACAAAGGGGCGAAATTCCACCCATAATTCCACCAACAACAACCATCGCAAATCGAAGAAGGATGAGCAATCAATGGTCATTAATATCCCTCAATATTAACGGCCTTAACTCACCCATAAAAAGACACAGACTAGCAGAATGGATTCGAAGACAGAACCCTTCCTTCTGCTGCATACAAGAAACACACCTCACCCTCAAAGACAGACATTACTTGAGAGTTAAAGGTTGGGAAAAAATTTTTCAATCAAATGGACCCAAGAAACAAGCAGGGGTAGCAATCCTAATATCTAACAAACTAGACTTTAAAATAAAATCAATCAAAAGAGATGAAGGAGGTCATTACATACTCATCACAGGTGAAACCCACCAAGACGAAGTGTCTATCCTGAACATCTATGCCCCCAATACAAAGGCATCCACATTCGTTAAAGAAACATTATTAGAACTTAAATCTCATCTAAAGCCCCACACAGTTATAGTGGGAGATTTCAACACACCACTCTCACCACTAGACAAGAATACCAGACAGGAACTCAACAAAGAAGCAAAGGGTCTAATAGAAGTAATGACCCAACTGGGATTAACAGATATCTATAGAACATTTCATCCACATAAAAAAGAATATACCTTCTTCTCACCACCACATGGAACCTTCTCAAAAATCGACCACATACTTGGCAACATATCAAACCTCAGCAGCTACAAAAAATTGGAATAACTCCATGCATCTTATCAGACCACCATGCCTTAAAATTAGAATTCAACAACAACACAAATTGCAGAAAACCTACAAACTCATGGAAATTGAATAATGCTCAACTGCACCATCCCTGGGTCAAAGAGGAAATAAAAAAAGAAATTAAAGACTTCCTCGAATTCAATGAGAATGAAGACACAACATACCCAAACCTATGGGACACTTTGAAAGCAGTGCTATGGGGTAAGTTCATAGCACTAAGTGCTCACATGAAGAAACAGGAAAACAGTTATACCAGAGAATTAACATCACAGCTAAAAGCTCTAGAACACAAAGAAGCAAACTCCCCCAGGAGGAGTAGACGCCAGGAAATAATCAAATTGAGGGCTGAAATCAACAAAGTAGAAACCAGGAAAACAATACAAAGAATCAATGCAACGAAGAGTTGGTTCTTTGAGAAAATCAACAAGATAGACAAACCTTTGTCCAAACTTACCAAACAGCAGAGAGTGAACACGCAAATTAACAAAATCAGAAATGAAAAGGGGGACATAACAACAGACTCTGAGGAAATCCAGAGAATCATTAGGTCATACTTTG